TGCAATACACTCTATTAACAGAGAAAAGGACAAAAATTACATGATCATTTTTTGTTTTCAGAACCAGGGATTGAACTCAGACCCTTGTACTTGCCAGGGAAATGCTTATTCTACTGAACCATCTCCCCGGCCCCTACATGATCATCTTGATAGATGTAAAAAAAACATTTGACAAAGTCCAACAAAACGTCCAACACCCATTGATAATAAAAATCCTATAGAAAATTGGAATAGATGGTCTTTATCCCAACCTGATAAAAGCCATCTAATACAAACCAATAGCCAACATCATGCTAAATATAAAAAACTTAAAGCTTTTACTCTAAAATCAGAAATAAGACAAGAATGTTTACTATTATATCTCCTATTTAATACAGTTCTGGACATTAGCCACAGAAATTAGACGAGGGAAAGAAATAAAAGGAATAAAGCCATGAAAGGAAGAGGTCAAATTATTGTTATTTGTGGATGACATCATACATGAAAAAAACCGAAAACTGAACAAAGACTTGTAGATTTAATAACTAAATTCAGCAGTGTACCTGGATACAAAGTCAGCATTCAAAAATCAATACTATTCCTGTACATAAACAACAAATTCACTGAGAGAGAAATTAGGCAAATCACATCTTTCACTTTATCATCTAAAAAAAAAAAACAAAAAAAACCTTAGGAATCAACCTAACGAGTAAAAGATTTAAACAGTGAAAATTATAGTTCTCTGAAAAAAAAAAGATTGATGAGAATATCAGAAAATGGAAAGATATCCCTTGCTCTTGGTTAGGAAAACCACATAGTGAAAAGTCATATTTCCAAAATTGTTATTCAGGTTTAACCAATCTTGATCAAAATACCATTAGTATACCTCACTGAACTAGAGAAAACATTCCTAAAATTCATTTGAAAACAGAAGAGACCTGGAATACCAAAAGCAGTTCTGGGCAACATAGGCAAGAACAGTAGGCATCAAAATCCCTGACCTGAAATTGTACTACAAAGATACTGTGATAAATTCAGCATGGTATTGAAGTAGAAAAAACAGAACTGAGAATCAGTGGGACAGATTAGAAGATTTTGGTGCAACTCAGCCAAGGAGCCAAACATGTTCTCTGGAAGAAAGACAATCTCTTAAATAAGTATTTCTGGAAAAATTAGCTTTCCGCATGCCAAAGACTCAAAGTAGACTCTTGTCTATCACCACACACTAAACTAAAATCAAAATGGATCAATGATCTAAATATTAAAACAAAAATGCTGACTCTACTGGAAGAGAAAGTAGAAATCTTGACGATATAGGTATAGGGAGTGACTTCTTTTAATTTTATTTATTTATTTATTTATTTGAGAGAGAGAGAGAGAGAGAGAGAGAGAGAGAGAGAGGCCAGCTCAGCCC